ACTTATGTTGTTATAATAAAATATAACTGTTTGTGCAGAATTTTTATTTTTTTGTGGGGGGGAAGGCGCTCGAAGGGGGTCTCGCCCAGGGTGTAATTCAATGTAGAACCGCCACTGACTGTACCCAGTGGAAAACCCCCCAAAAGTGAACCGTACCGAGCCGTACCGTGCCGTACCATGCAGTGGAAAAGCGCCATAAGTGGTCTGACTTCAATTATACAGGTGAAGTGTTAGTGTGAAGTACTTAGGGACTCTAACCTGTGGGTGGTTTTTTGGGTGTGACTTCATGGTCACGGGTCACTTTTACCCTACGATGAGCAAACATACAGTCCAAACACAGGGCCTCCTCGCACTGGACACACCATCCACTAACCTCACTCTCTTCACACCCGGCACACTGAAAAGATTGATTCAACATTTTGAATTAAGATTTACAATGAAAGACAGAGAGGAAATTACTCCTTTATGTCAGTGCTGGAATTCTTTGGACCAGTTTAAGGGCCTTTCACACCAAGGACGATAACTATGAAGTTTTAAAAAACATTCAAATTCTGTGAAAAAAGGATGACAAAGAGGAACAATATTGTTGCAATCACTTTCAAACAGTTTTTTTTCCAAGCTGATGAATGGTAAAAACATTGACAGCCAATCAGAATCAACTTGGCCTTAAAGAGCTTGGGCAGTTAAAGCGGCAGCACGTGCTTATAATGAACAGAACATTAGCATGCGTTCCTGGTGTAGATGCTAATACAGTTACTGTAATAGTTATATTGCTTTGTAATAGCTTTATATTGATCATTCTTTGTGTGAACGGCTCTTTATATGATTTGCCAACATCCTCTACAAAAAGATTAGGGACAGAATGAATGTACCATTTTACTTAAAACTGTCTCCATAATCTGCACACTTACCTTGGGGACCTTGTTATTTTTAGACGTGTCTTCGAAAATGGCACATTCTGTAACCTCAGACAAACAAAAGGAATGTGCACATAATGGACAATCTAGATGAAGAAAGAAACAAAAGTCTCAGACACACTTAAATGAAACACTTCTACAAAATGAAGGGGCTATGTCATTCAATTCTAACTACTCATGTTGCTGTTGATTAGAAAGCCTTGATGAAACCACAAGTCATTTATTAAAGTATAATGAATTATTAGAGTAGCAGAATTTATACACCTTGTTTGCTTGACAGTTTTATCAACAAAATGAACTGATTTGAACAAATGACATTTTATTGAAAAATGCAGGTTTTTTCAGGGATGAACTGTGGTATTACTTAATATCAATGTAAATTATATTTAACATGCAAAATGACAAAAAAATGAAATGAAAATCTCCTTATTAGTAAAATATAATCAAAATGAAATGCACTTGCATTTGGTTTTATCGAAAGCAAGTAATATATTCCATATGTAATTGTAAACATGACACTAATTTCGTCATGACATTAAAGGTGGGGTAAGCCATTTCTGGTAGCCAATGTTGACATTTGAAATCACCAAAACAAACACGCCCCTACCCCAAAAGGGTCTCGCCCCTATTTTGATAGCTCTGCCCCACACATACGTACGCAACTCGGGCAACGATTAGTTCTGTGAAACAAAGCAAAACCAATGTTACACCGTGTCTACACCGGACGCGAGTGGCGCGGCGTGACAAAATACTATGGAAGTCATAATCAGTGATGCTGTCTACACCATAGATATACAGTGGTGTGAAAAAGTGTTGGCATATTGACACAAATTTCAAATGATTTTCAACGGTCGCTTTGTCGCGTCCAGTGTACTAGGCTGACTTTCGGCGCAGACACGGTGTTACTTACCAGGGGCGTAGCCATCATTTCAGAAGTGAGGGGGACAGAAATGTTATATTGTAATGTTATATATATGTATATACAGTGGGTACGGAAAGTATTCAGACCCCCTTAAATTTTTCACTCTTTGTTATGTTTAATGTTCTTTTCTGTGAAAACAACTGTTTTCATACAGCAATAGCTGGACGCTTTTGTTCATATTAGAAATTTCCTCATACGACTTTCTGCGCGAGAGCGCCCTCCGGCTTCGAGTGTGAATGAAACATACACTGCACGGAGTGTTTAGCGCTCCGTGATGTTCATCTCGCCTTATTCTGGGTCCGAATAAAACATCAGATCATGCACAGACTATCCTGTCTCTTTGAATTTGAATCTATATTTATTCACACCAGCTCTTGAAAACCTCTATGTGAACACACTTGCCCGAAAAAGTGCGGGGCACGAATTTACGTGATATTAAAAGTGGGGGGGACACGTCCCCCGCTTAATCTACGCCCCACATCATGTGTAGACACGCCCCTTACTGCTGATTGGCTACAAGTTTGTTTTGCTAGTCGCCCGAATCAGTTTTCTAAAGCGTTTTTGGAAAATCGCTTACCCCGCCTTTAAAGAAAGCAGCGTTTCTATTTTTCACACGCAGTACAGTGGCCATTTAAAAAAAAACTTTAAAATAAATGTTGAGCCTTTTGATATTTCTCGTCGAAACATCCTGTATCGATAGTAAATACGTCAGTAAGCTGCGATTTCAGGGGATTTTAGATCAGCATCATTACTTTGCGTTCATAAAAAGTAATTAAATGTTACAAATTTCACTAAAATATTATTTTAAAAAGTATATACAATGTTTGTTTAGTATGTGAATAAGAAAAACGTTATATCGGGGCCAATTGTAACTGTTCATCTGGCCCCTAATGGAAAACACAACCTAGCCATGGACCACGGCCATTAACTTGGTAAGACCCATTTTATAAATAATCGCACTACACAGTCGATTAAACCTGCGTGAGCCTATTTCGACGCGATTTTAAAAATGTCACGTGCAGATGGACTTTAGCGAGCGCCCCATTAAAACCACCAGTCAAACTGAACAGTACAAGCGAGTTCTCACCTTGGATGGCTCCATCTGTGCAGATCTTCGTAAGGCAAGTATTACAAACTATATGCAGGCAAGGCAGAAGTCTGGGGTCTGCAGAAGAGTTTAGGTGTACTTTGCAAACAGCGCAGCATCCGCAAACAGTTCTTTCTAAATCCAGATGAGGCGACGCTGGACGCCCTGTTTGGTCAGGGGCAAACATCTGTTTCTTGAAAATAAATTAATGTAAACAGAGGTGCAACTTGACAGCAGACGAAGTGTATCTTGATATGCCTCGCGAGAAATTAGACGCGTTACGCATGTAATTGTATTTAGGATTCGTGGATCTAACGGTAAGCCGTTGAATATGCAGTTCATAAAACTTTTCTGTTGCGTGGGGCGGGGCCTTATGGAATATTCATTAGGTCGTCATATAGTGGGCGTGTCCTTCTGACAAAACAAAGCGGGTACCGCAACGTGAAATACAGGTACTTTTGGCGATGTCAGTACCAGTTTTCAGGTCACAGATGATTTCGTTTTGGTTTCAGTTGAATTCTTTTCACATATTGTTTTGAACTTTTCGTGTGTTTTTAATTTGTAAATATATTTAAGTTAGGGAAGTGCTTTAGGACAAACTTAATACTGCTCATGTCAGCTTGAAAGTCAAAGTATTTGTGGCCTGTAACAATTTAAATAGAAAAATGCTGTAGTTGTAGGATTATTTTTTTAAAGGTTACTTTAGAAGACATAAAAAAAAAAAAAAACATTTACATGCACTGGATATTCTAAAAAAAAAAAATGTTATAAACACCAGTTGTGATCTAAGGAGTTATTAACATTTCCAATGTTTTTAATTTGTCAAAAGGACACACCCACAAAAGGGGGAGATTGATGAATATTCCAGCATGCTCCACCTAGTGAAATAGAAAACCTTCCTATATTTATAGCTTTGTAGAGAACAGAGCGGATCCTGGTTGATTTATGTTCTGGAAGGAGTGGGTGGATTTCCATAAAGAGATTAGTCTGTGTGCCTATTTGTCTTTGGAGGAGTAGATGCATTGATGAGAAACTAGAATGCCAAACTTAACTAATTCTTAAATAGATGTTCAATACATTTAGGAAAGATATTGAACGTGGGACAGGTAATTGCAGTAAAGCTAAGGTGTTTGATACAAGTTCTTGACATAGAAGACTCCCTTGTGTTCTTAGTTCACTCAAAAATCTAAATTTGCTGAAAATGTACTCATCCTCAGGCCATTCAAGTTAGTTTGTTTCTTCATTGGAACAGATTTGGAGAAATTGAGCTTTACATCACCTTTACATTAGAGATGCTAAATAAATCGCGATTCATGTAGGTGTAGGAGTTTATATGAATGTATGTCAGCGACTTACAAATGAGGACAATAGAAGCAATCAAAACCAACAAAAGAGCAATAATATGCAAGTTCTATATTAGTATATTATTATAGTGTTATATTTCAATTTCACAAAGAAATGTGCAGCATTTTGTCCGAGTAATAATAACAGGACACATTTAATTTATAATTTGAAAAAAATTTAAAAACCGTGAATCGAATCGTATCGTGAAATCAAAATCGTGAATCGAATCGAATCGTGAGTTGAGTGAATCGCTACATCCCTAATGTCAATATTATGCATTATGTTGCTTTAATAAGAATTAAAGTATGTTTAAATAATGCCAAAGACAATGCATTGTTTTATTTTATATTTGATTCACACATTCAGTCTTAAAGGGTCATGAAACACTAAATTAATTGCTTTTCCTAAAAAACTGCAATAAATTATAGTTGTCACAGGATTGGTGTGTATTATGCAACTGATATGAACTATGCAATTGACTCTATGAAGGTACGAGATATTTTCTTCGAAGGCAACTCATTGTTTGGTTCTCCTCATTGTTTGGTTCAGTTTTTTGTGCAATCTTCTGTATGTCTAATGTATTGCAGGCTCTTGGAAGTGCCAGAAAATTCAGTATTTATGATAAAGGACTGTAAGACAGAGGTTAATTATGCGACACAATCACCTTTAATGGAGTTGTATCATAAAAAATCATTTTATTATTGTATTTTTTCTCTTAGGTTTACTTTCAATATTAAACAAGCTTGCTGTATTGTATTATTATTATTTTATGCATTTTTGCATTTATGCATATAATTCATGCATTTATTACTCTTGGAAACCAGCCTAGAAAAGGAAATTCAGAATTATCCAGATGAGGATATCTGTTTCTAGAACATCTGTTCTTTACCATATAAAGTTTTGTTTTGGTATTACATTTCTATGGGATGTAATGTATATTCTCATTGGATGATCATTACACCATCCTTTGAAAACATAAAAGCTTATATATTGTATTTTATGCTGGGATTTGGTTATAAAAACTGGACAAGCTTGGACAATAAACTCTGAAGGTAAACAATAAACTCTTTGCAGACAGAGATGCCATCTGTGTCAGGATCCTGCCCTGACAGTCTTGTCTGTCCTGTCTTTGTTTAATGTATCTTTGTTTATTTTGTCCCTGAGCACATGGCTGTGTCTTTGTTTGTGTTGGCCATGTGCTCCTCTTGTCCTGCCGCCTCATTTTCAATCACCACGCCCTCTTGTTTAGTCCTTGCTTATCCAATTGTGTTCACCTGATCCTCGTGTGCTCTGATCCCTTTATATTGTGCTCATTTCCCTCTGGTCTTTGTTGGTTTGTTTTGTGTGAGCTTCATGTGCATTCTCTTTGCTTGTGTCTTGTGGAAGTTTGCCTTTCAGTGTTTTGCGTCCAGTCTGGTTTTGTTTTTTTCCTTCCTGTTAAATTCTAGTTTTTATTTGTTCCTGAGTTTAGTTAATAGCCTAGTTCTAGTCTTGTGGTTTAGTTCTTAACCTTTTGATTAGATCTAGTCATTTATTCTCAGCTTTTCCCCTTTTGTTATCCTCTTTGTTTTCATAAGTCTCAGTTAAATATTTCTAGAACTTATTTTATTACTTTTTTCGCCTTTGTTTTATTTCTTGTTTATCCTCCCTAGTCATTGTTTTGCAAGTTCTTTCTTTTGATCGGTGTTTCTCTTGTCTCCCCTGTTGCCTTGTCTGTGTGTTTGTCGAGTTGGTTCCTGCCCTGCTTCCTGAGTCCTCCCTGGTCGATGTGAAGTCTTCTGACCTGTCAGGCGGTTTTGTGCTTCATGTGTTACCATCTTCTAGGCCTATTATTTTATTACTTTTCCCCCTTTGTTTTATTTCTTGTTTATCCTCCCTAGTCTTTGTTTTGCAAGTTCTTTCTTTTGATCGGTGTTTATCTCTTGCCTCCCCTGTTGCCTTGTCTGTGTGTTTGTCGAGTTGGTTCCTGCCCTGCTTCCTGAGTCCTCCCTGGTCGATGTGAAGAGTCTTCTGACCTGTCAGGCATTTTTGTGCTTCATGTGTTACCATCTTCTAGGCCTAGCCTGTGGTTCCTTGAGGTGCTACCTAGTCTCCTTTTGCCTCAGAGTCAGGAACTACCCCATCCCCGACCTGCCTGTTCTCCTGACGTGTGCTCTGGCCTATTGTGTTGGCTGTCTTCCTGCCTCGTCCTCTTGTGTTCCTATTTTGTTAATAAACTCCGTTTCCCCTGTTCATTCTGCGTTTGGGTCCTCCCTTGACAAACCGTGACAGAACGAACCAGCCACTCAAGGCCCCAGCAGAATGAGTATTAAAATCGTTCCACCTGCCACTGCAGAAGGGAGATTGGCACTCCAACGGACACTGGCATCGCTTTGTCAGCAGGACCAGGAACCACGCTCCTTTGCCCAGTTCTTCTGGACCATGGCTAGGGGCCTCGAATATGGTGATGCAGCCCTGAAGGAGGCCTTCAACCTCACTCTGGATGACCCCTTACCGCAATAGGAAATGGAACAACTGCATGTTTTGAATTTCTGGGACTAATCTAATTATGTGCATCACCGCAAAGACTGGCAGATCCTTAACCCTCCTGAGGATGTCAGCAGTGACCACCACCCTGCCCTCCTTCCCTCTTCGAGTCAAGTCCACGATCATCTTCTGACTCCCACTGAGAAACGAAGGGACAGAAGAGGGTGGCCCGAGTTGCTGCATCTGCCATTGAGTCCTCCGTGCCGGCTCCAGCCTCTGAGAGCAGTTCAGTGCCGGCTCCTGCCTCTGAATCGGCTAAACCCACTGCAGTCACGCCTGAGTCAACCAAGTCCTCTGAAGCAGTCAAGGTAGCTTCGAGAGAAGTTTCCCAGTCATTCTCTGTTCCTGTGTCTGTCAAGTATGTCCCAGTTCTGAGCAGCACCTGAGGGCAGTCCAGCAGCCCCCTCCCTTGACAAACCGTGACAATCTGTGTTTCTTACTCCTTCCACGTCTGTGCAAAGAGACTGAGAAATAATATAACAGGTGGTCATCTAGATTTTATCTATAACATGTTAAATGATAAAGTTCATGAGTCATGACAGTACAATTAGAAAAATATGGGACCAGTATGGCATGTTTGGAGGGCTTGCCAGAAGAAAGCCTCTTCTATCTTTAAAAAAAAAACATGGCAGCACGGTTTAGGTTTGCAAAGTTGCATCTGAACAAACCATAAGACCTTTGAACAGACAAGACCAAAGTGGGGATGTTTGGCCATAATGCACAGCGCCACATTTGGTGAAAACCTAAAGAGCATATCAGCACAAACACCTCATACCAAACGTCACCCATGCTGGGGGAGTGCTGATGATTTTGGACTTATTTTTTAAGCCACAGGATCTCAGTCATTGGATCGACCATGAACTCCTCTGGATACCAAAGTATTCTAGAGTCAGATGTGAGGCCAACCATCCAACAGCTAAAGCTTGGCCAAGATTGGGTCCTGCAACAAGACAATGATCCCAAGCACACCAGTAAATCTACAACAGAACAGCTGAAAAAGAAAGAAACCAGGTGTTGCAAACCCTGTCAAAGTTCAGACCTCATCCTGACTGAAATGCTGTGGTGAGAGTTGTGCACAAACCTCAATAAACTTGAGCAACACTGTAAAGAAGAGTGGGCCAAAATTCCTTAAGAACGATGTGAAAGACTGATAAAGTCATACAGAAAATGATCATTTCAAGTTATTGCTTCTACAAATATATATGTTTATTTTTCATTTAGCCATTAAATGAACATTTAAGACACTTAGAACTGGTATGCAGATAT